TCCATGTTAAATGCAAATGATACCAACACCAATGCACTATTTACGCATGAATCAACTGATAGTACACCTAATTATATAACATAATGGGTAAATTTAAAAGCATTATTTTAGTTGTTACGGAAAAATATTACATATATATTTTCTCTTTAAATGTGTTATATTTTTGTAGTTAAAAAACAAGTTTCAAAGAACTTTCTAAAAAGATTTGAAAAATAATATTTAAAATATGACCAAAGGCTTAAAAGAAACCGAATCTAAGTAATATGTAGATTAACATTTTTTTACCATTTTCTTAAAAATTTCAAAAATGTTATTGTTTGTTTTGCAAATGAGAAACGGTGTTCTTTAAGACTTTAATTGCGATTCAGCTGCCTGGAGAAGGAAAACAATATTCGGAGGTGGAAATGGGATCCCTATCTATTGTTATACTGCAGCCATTGTTAAATGGAAAGAGAGCAAGTAGTTTTACAAAAATTTAATCATGCCACAGATGCCGTGGGGTTTAGAACAAAACAAAACTATTACCAGCACATGTGAACCCATCAACCCAACAGTTTTCTGTTGTTCACAACACAAAAACTCGACGACCAAAAAGGGGCCGCCGCAGGTGAATAAAATCAACTTTTTGTTTATGCTTTTGTTTTTTATTCCCTGCTCTACGCTGAGCTGATTTCGAATGTAATGCAATCGATTAGCTGAGCGCAGAGACACAGCGAAAATACAAGCAAAAACTCCATTTACATGTGCTGAAAAAATAAAGCCATAAAGCATAAAACGCAAACAGCAGGCGACAGGCATCAAATATGCATTGAAATAGGAATTGCAAAAACCCCATGAATCAGTCCGATGCGTCGATAAATATTGACTGTCGCCACTTGACAATTTATAAAATTTCAATTAATTATGAACAGCTTAAAACGCCAGTCGCGTGCGCCGCCTTTTGTTCTTAATGGATTTGTATTAATGAGTTTGTGGCCTTGTGGCCAAATAATTTTCATGGCGCTCTACGGGGATTTTTTAATTTATGGTGATTTTATAAAAGCGTAGTAGTGACATGAATAAAAATCCAGTTTCGGAATCAACTTTTAATACCTTTTTATTTTCAAAGTTATTTACAAATTTAACTTATTAATATTTTATATATTTTACCATAAAATATCATATTGTACTAAAAAACGGCATAATAATTGGGGAACATTTTCAACACAATCTGCTTTGACTCTTTGTGGGTTTTTAAACTTTTAAAAAAACACATAATATGTACCAAGAAAAATTAAAATTTTTTTAAACTTTGAGCGAAAAAAAAGGAGTGAAATGCTAATTTCGATTATTATTTTTTATAAACATAAATAAATAGTAAATGAAAAAAATAGGTAGGCTAGAAAAAATAAAGCAAAAGTCATAAAAAATATTATTCACTTGAAAATCTTCCCCATGACCTTTTTTTTCATTTTCAATTTCCCCGCTTTAGGCAGCCATAAGAGTAATGACTTTCTTGTGTGCTAGGCGCGCAATTTTTAAATGCATTAAAAAGTGTTACACTCGAGTGCCGCACATTTATCACACACTCCGGCCCAAACAAAAAACACTTAGACGTAGACAGGGCATAATGGAAAAATCGCATTTAAATTGTTTGGCTCACAAATAAATTGTTATAATTCATCACTCAACTTAACTTGGCGACGAACGTCGTCAGATACGCTCTCAAATTGATTGACTTCAATTCAATTGAACTCCAACGGCAACCGGAGCCGGCGGGCCTATTTCATTCTATAACAAATTATTATCCGCTGCTCGTATGATTTATATAAATCGCGTCACGGCAATACTTTGACAAAAGCATGACAGACACTTTATTAGGTTTCGCTATTAATTTGCATGGATTTTTCATTGCGAATGCATGGCACAGCAAATCTGTTCATAAGCCTGTCTGAGCAATATAAAAAAAAGGGAAATAATTACATACATATACATTCACGCGGCGGACTGACAGCGAAATCACCAAATTCCATTAATTTTAAGCAGTCAATCAAAATTGCCAACTTGAAGTCGATTATATTATGCTAATGAATTCGGGAAGGAGGCTGATGTCGACCGGCTGTTGGCCACCAAAGTTGTCCTAGACAGAGGACAAGCCGGAATGTATTGGTAGTAGCCCAGAAGTCAGTTTCAGCCCAGACATAAGTCAACGGTCATCAGCAGTCATCATCATTCATTATTATTTATTATTTGCGCAGCTCACATGGCGTATGCGTGATGCGCGAGGAGTCAGCAGTAAAGTGTAATATGAATAAAGCGATCGGCTTATGTTCAGCTTCAATAAAAAATACAGTTTAATGCAGATTTAGTTTGCCGGATTCCCGCAAATAAGTGACTCTTAATTACTTTTACGCAGCCCTACAAACAAATATTTATAAAGCTGTCGTTTGAGTGCCCAATTGTAGGCAAATTAAATTATGCTCTATGGCCGAAAGGGCACTTTATATCGGTTTACCTTTGCCACATATATAGATCCCATCTACGGCTCATTTCGAGTGCTTAGTCAACTCATTTAATTGTTGATTTCAACTTACATGAGCGCACACACGAACGGAGGGACTTTCTCTGCCTTCATCACAAGGCCAAATAATATTTGTTTATGCAAATTGCATTTAATTAATACATAAACACGTGTTTGCCGTAGCTGCTGCCGACGTTCATGTTGTTTTTGGCTGCCACTTAAAGCTCTGCGGTCAAAGCGCGGTATTAGAAAATGAAGGGAACTCGAGCCGACTCTTGTAAGCATGTGAGAAATTTTGAAATTTGCGGTTTCCTGGCGTTGATTCCCACAAGCCGCAACGCAGATGAGAAGAGGCATCTTTTTAGCTTCAGGTAGGGCCTCCGGAACATTCTTCTCTAAGCAAAATGTGCAAATTAAGGCACTTTTATTATTGTCTGAAAAAAATAAAAAAAATCCCTTCAAAACTGAAACAAATTACAACGCACTCTACACAATTTTCCTAAATCTTTTTAAAAATATAAGCAACTAATTTAAATGAATAAAAGAATTTGTTTTTTTTTTTTTAATTTTCTACTGATTTTTAAGTCAATTGAAATATATTACAGTAAAACCAAAAAAAAGAAAAAAAATTACATTATATTTATTTTATACGTATACGTATAAACAATATCTATAGTTACTTTTATTTCTTAACGAGCACGGAAGCTAACTTCGGCAAGCAAGTATTAATACCCTTGCAGATTTTGCCAAAATAGAATATACTGCGGGAAATATACTGAAAAGTATAAAATTTTAAGCGATTTTCCCTATTGTTTCTTGGGAGCTATAGGATATAGACTTTCGATCGGGGCCCTTTTCAAACTAAATCTGCGTACACATGTTTTAGGACGACTGTGAAAGTTTCGGATCGCTAGCTTTTAAAGTGTGCTCGCAAACGGTATTGAAACAGACGGACATGGCTATATCGACTCCCCTATTGATCCTGACTAAGAATATATACTTTATGGGATCGGAAACGTCTGCGTTACAAACTTCTGACCAAAATTATAACACCCTCTGAAAGGGTATAAAAAGCTTAGACTAAAAACTTGTTTCTGTATATGATTTAAACAATAAACAAATAAATACTACAAACAAGTATAGGTCTGATCAGCAATAAGGCAAATATGTTGTTCTTTATATAAAAATTATATCAATAGTTAAGTTTATTTGAAGAAGCAATAGTTTTTGATTTGTTTCTGTGTAAATGAATTTTCCCTCCCATTCTCCACGGGTATTAGCAATTTAATGGCAACATCATCCGCAGAAGGAGCACATTATACTCAACGCTTCCAAAATAGTTCAACATATACTACAGTCGTTTTATATGTGTACAGATCACGTAACGTTTTAAAAACTCGTTTAGGAATGTTGCTCATCCCATACCAAATGGGAAACTAGCTTACGGGCAAAGAGAGAATAATTCGAACGAATGGGAAATGCCCTCACCTCAGTCAAGCAGACACACTAAAAATAGCCAGAACTAACTCAATTTAAGCTAAGAAAGCTGGGACTAACCGGGCTAAAAGTACAACCAAACATGTGAGGATGTGAGCTGAATTTTCGATATCGTTAATCGCCAATACCTAAAGATGCTTCTAACCATTCAGTTTGAAAAGTTCTGTATCTGCAACAGCATCAATGAGTAGACTAACCCCATTTTTTCAAGCTACGAAAAATGGAAATTTAAAAAATTCCTCACACACATACACACACACTTTGTTCGAACACCCACACACAGATATACATACATAAAACATGTTTTGGCCCGCTCGGCAAATGCAACGACCAACAAAAAAGGTGGTTACAAAACGCTGCGGAAAACTGTGAGACGGAAACTGAATATCGAACACGTTTCTTTACTTTGTCGCCCTGCCATATGGAACTGTGCAATAGTGTTTGTGCGCCAGTATCTACATTATAGACTTGATGTGCTTGGCAGCGCCTAGATTTATGCAGCAATTTATTTAAATGTTTGTGGATGCGTATAATTCAGTAACTAAGCGAGCATGTTTAAGTGGCGACAATTGTAAACAATTTGCAGAGTGTGTTTAAAAGACAGAGTATCTTTCCATATGAAACAACTAATTACTGTCTATATTGCGATTTTATTTTCATTTATTCGTTCAATTATTTGTAGTTAACCTTTTAAAACAACTTTACAAACTTACAAACGAATTTTAGATATTAGCAAAGATGTTTCACACTAACAGAGTTGTGACTACAAACATAAACTTTGAAATTTAATTTTCATTAAAAAAAAAATAATGCTTGTGAAAACAATTTTCATTAATTCAAACCTTTGGGAATATGGTGGCCCTTGTGAAATTTTTGCTCAGTAGTTTTATATATAACTTGAAGTCAAAATGTAAATCTCGACATTAATAGTTTTTAAGTAAATTATATAAGCCACAAGGAGATTTCTAAAATGAAATATATGTATGTTCTAAATTTTTTGCAGCTATTGGGCGGTGACCAACATTGACTACATTCACTCGAGGACCAGCAATCGGGTTTTCATGATGATATTCTGCGTTTGGACGGCGGCAGTGATTGTATCTCTGGCGCCACAGTTTGGTTGGAAGGATCCGGACTACCTGCAGCGCATCGAACAGCAGAAGTGCATGGTATCGCAGGATGTGTCCTATCAGGTGAGCAAGTGAAAGCCCCCTTTGGTCGACTCGTTTATTCTACTCACAACCTTGTGCTTCTCAGGTATTTGCCACCTGTTGCACATTTTACGTGCCACTACTGGTCATTCTGGCACTCTACTGGAAAATCTATCAGACGGCTCGCAAACGCATCCATCGTCGACGACCACGACCCGTCGATGCGGCGGTCAATAATAATCAGGTACAGTTCAAAACTCTCATTCACTAAACGTAATCAATTGACTGCCCAAATTGAGGAGGACTGAAGCCATTAATAGTAAACATCATTAGTTATCTTTGAGAATTAGGAAATTTGAATTATTGCTTTAGAAATACTGATAACTATTAATGGTGAGTTCTGAGCTGAGCATCAAAAATAATGTTTTTAAAACGTTTAAGCAATTTCTGAGTTTCTAAAACTATGCAAAACGTTATTAAAAGTGTCTAAGCCAAATAAAAAGAAAACATAAATCTTAAAGCAGTTTAGTACTCGACAAATAGGTATTTAATGTTTAATGACAGCAGTCTCTATAATATGGACCGCCTGTATGGACCATCAAGTCCAAGCCACAGCATGGCCAATGCAATTACGCCCTCGATCGAAGCAAACCGCGCCCATTTAGGCCACCATTTCAACCGAGCCACAAGATTCAGTCAAAAGGCCAAGCCGCAGGCAACGTTCTGAAATTTCTATGCACATGACTTCGGGGTCTGACCTTATGAAATTATACTGGCCAATTTAAATATGCATAGACCACTACGGCGAACCCAAAGGGAATGTGGCTGTAATTAGGCAGTATCATCCTTAGTGATGAAATATGCATTGCAAAGGCTTTTTTTTTGGTATACCCTGATAAAAAAAAAGCAAGCAAAGCGGGGGCGAGCACGGCTTAAGTTAAGCATACGCCACGTGGGCATTAAAGCCTTCTTGGCCGAAAGTTGAGCGATAAGTGCCAGCTTGTGTTGACTTGCGAATGTGTCTGAGTGTGTTTGAAAGTCCTTTGGCCAGAAGTTTCTACCCTAATGCGGCAGCTGGTCAAACTAATACGCACAGGATGTGTTCAAGGAAAGTCTGGCCAAATTGTAATTTTGTTTTCGCTCCAAAGAAAGAAATTTCAACAATTTCCAAGTTGTTTATCAACGAAATTAAAAACTAATTTTCGTTGCAAAAGAATCTTCCGACTGACTTCGCTCAACTTTTAACACGCGTTAGGGTATCTGGAAATTGGTTTGCACTGACTTTTTCGCCAGGGCTTTTTATTTATTTTTTTCTTCAATCTTGAAGTTTGACCTGCTGCTACTTAGCTTAAGCTTAGTGCTTACTAAATTGAAAATGACCGTTTGACGTAAAAATGTTTGCACCCACTTACCAACACATGTGCTTTAACATACAGTTGGGGTCAAACGAATAGAGATTTTTGTATTTATTATTTATTTAGGAATTTGTGAGATTAAATATTATCATGTTGGATATTCAGCAAAAAGAAAAATGTAAATTAAACTAAATGCATTTGAGTTTTAAACACAATTTATCTACATTTTAATAAAATTGCGTGTTATATCCAAATGAGTAAATAAATTAATTTTAATTATTCATATGACCCACCGTACTATTGTCTTGACCGCAACTGTATAAAGTCACGAGTGTGCATACAACAGTGACTAAAGCTGGACGAATGAGAGAGCGCTGGCAGAAAGTCATTGGAATCACAAATTCAATGCGCAAACAAGGCATGTTGTCCACTATTTGCGATTCGTACACATGTCCTGGCCCGTGTCCTGCCCCGATGTCCTGCTGCCCTGCCCTCCGCCGATGTCCGGCCCAATCGAGCCTCACTCGCGTGCCTTAGTTACATGTCAACACACTTACCCGCACACCCATGGCACACTCACCCACAGATCCACATCCATTTAGTGCCACTCACTAGTCGGTTCGCAGTCCCCTGCTTGTTGATTTTAGAATATATTTACCCTGCACACACATCCGCATATCCTTTACACCCAGCCCTGATGACCATGCGTTCGAACCGAAAAGACTTTTCGCCATTCGAGGAAAAGGGCATTTGACCTGCGACTTGTTATTCATTGCCACTATTTTGCCATTCTTCGTTAACTAAATGCTTTTAAATTGTAAACAGCTTTCCTGCTGCTTGACGAGGGTATACATTCGCTTGCAGACCGTTGCGTATTTGGTAAAGATGGCTTTTCATGTCATAAATTTCCAGCTAATTGCATTTGCATTCGGTATGTTTATTGGCAAATTGCTAAATAATTCGACGCCCTAATCGAATCGAGAAGCGTAACTATCATTGGCTGAAAGTTGTCAGACAACTAATTTCTCCCCGACATGTAACTCGCTATTTGTGTTTTTAATTGAAATGCAATTTTCATTCCGGTCACACACACATTGGTTTTGCAATTAAGTGATGAGCGAGCGGGCAGTGGAAGGCGGCGGTCAAATGGCAATTAAGCGAGGCAGGTATTATCTGTAATTTAGCTATTGGCATTATGTGTGGGTGAGCATCGAGCAAATGTTATTAATAATCAAGCACAGCAGGCTGAGTTACGCCCGAATGCCCAAGGGCAACACACCATCATCACAATTACATTTGCAACAACATCTCGAATTGATTGCTCCAGATATTGACACTATTTTCATAGCCAAACATGTGACAAAACAGTCAAGAGCCCGACATCGCTTGAGTGAAAAGCATATTTGGACAACTGGCCATCTGCGACACACGAAGACGTGTTTGTGTCTGGCTCCAAGGACCAAAAAAAAAGCACAACAAAAACCCATAGCAAAACTGAACAGCAAAAGTTCAGAGTGCACTTTAACAATCGAGTATAATATTATATAAATCAAACATGCAAGATTTTGCAAGTAAAAGAATTATTTTTAGATAGACTTTAGTATGGCTTATTCATACCTAAAAAAAATAAATCAAGCAAACACTACCAGTTTTAGATAGAAAAGAAGAACAGGAATTTTAATTATTTTAAAGCTAAAATAGTAGTCTCTATTTTATATCAGTTTGGGCAAAGTTTGCATTTGATTTTGCTGTTATTTATGGCGGATTTATTTTAATTTTCGCCCAGCTTCGTTGGCAGCGCTGCCCTTGCCCTGTTCGAGCCATAAATTTTGTTGCCCAGTGTAGTTAATACCAGGGCATTCTTGTCACACTCAGGACAAACATAAATCGCATGGAAACACATTATTGAATACACACGAGCACACGCACATACGCACGCATTTCTTTCGGAAGCTGAACATGTGTCTCGGCAAGAAAAACAATTAAATAAGAAAACAATTTACATAAATTAGCTAAAGTGGCAAAAATGGCTAAGGACTAGAGCCGGCAAACGGACGAGAGTGAGTGTATCGTTTATGCAAACGCTTAAATACACAGAAAAACAGTCGGCTGACAGCACATCTGCATAAAATTCACATTGAGCCGAGGTTGTATCCGCATCCTTATCGTTATTGCCGAACTGCTGAAAAGAGAGCGCTTATCGCTCTTATCACGTGCATGTGTGTGCCTTGGCCGTGTTTGCCCTGGTATTTAAGGCACACACAAGTGTGTAGATACTGTAGTTTTCCCCGAAGGATACTTCCCCGGCAATTGTTTTTTCTAGTCATGGCAATAATGGCTTTTCCCCAGCCTCGAACTTGTCTAGGTGAAGATTCAATGAATGGTTACTCCTTAGCCAAGAATTGAAATTTAATACCAGTTGCCAGTTGCTTTTAGCTTTAAGCCAACTAGAATAATTTTGGAGCGCGTGGCCTGTTATTTATTAATTTCGGACAGACTTCAACCTCCCACTGGGATATCCCATTCCACCCCCCATCTCCGTGTGCCTAATTAAGCTTAAACTCTTCAATATTTAATAAGCTATCTGACTGGTCACCCCCGTAAAACTTTCTTTCCCTACTTTAGTAACCCATAAGACACTTGACGGAGATTGTGCTCCTCAATTTTCCCTTAGTTTTGGCCCACAAAATTAAGGTCACTCGTATGGGCCCATGCCGTAAACCCATTTAATACTATTTGCGCAAATATTCACACCATTTCTGGATCGCCATTGACTCGAAACCCTTTGCCCCATCGTTGAAATTTCCGCACACGAAGGCAAAATCAGCATAATTTTATTTATTTAAAGCAATATCGACTTGCAAAGGGTCAACAGACGGAGGCGAAGGCGAAGGCGACAAAGATGACGAGGCCGATGGCAAAGGGTTGGACTACTCAATTACTTTAATTTGGTGGGATTGAGGGCGACAAAAATACGCACACAAAGGGGATGCATTCAGAAAATAAGAAAGTCGAAACATGTCTACACTGCATTTCGTTGAACAAATGTTCAATGTTTGGCGATTGAAAATCGAAAAGATCAGGCATATTTCGAGTGATAGAATTGTTTTTTTTTTTTATTTTTACATAATGTCTCGTACAAATTATCTAAAAAACGTTAAACATTTTAAATTAAAAGTTTTAAGCATATTTTTATACAATTTTTTAAAATACTTGCTATACAATACAATATCAATATAGTGTTACTTATTGATAATTTAGTCACTTATTTACCTGAAATAAATAAAATTTATAAAATAAATTTAGGCTTTACATTAAATACACATACTAAAGAGAACAATTAATTTATTTAAACTTTTTAAACCTTCCGAAAAATTCACATATTCTTATACAAAAAATGAAAATTGATATCCAAAAATGTTTTCTGGATAAGTATGAATTGCAGCTTCTCCCATTTGATTTAATTAACAAAGTTGAAAAAGAAGAAACAAAATACTTTTTGAGAATTTATTTTCTCAATTAATTTACAATAAACCTAAAGCAGAAGCTAAGCGAATGTTTTTAATAACTGAGTTCTCTCTGTTAGTCGAAGTTCATTGTCCGTACGAACTGAATGCTCTACCAAATCAAAAAAAAAAGGGATACGCGGCTGGGAAAAAATCAAAGAGGTCAAGCGCTGGGGGCAGTCAAACGTGAAATTTATTTTGAGCTGCCGGGCAGTCTGCCGAAGTGGGCCGCTTGGGAGATGTTCTTGGGTGGGTGTAACAAATACACACAATTTATTTACGGGACGCAACCCACTTACATATGCATATGGAGGCAGGGGAACCAAAAAAAATAAAAGCGGATCGGATCGGATCTTTCGGCTCAGCCGGGAACTTTTTTGGATATGCGTACAAATTGCGGTTTATTGAAGCGTAAGGCACAAAAAGCCGAAAATGTAAATTTGCCACCGTCGCTCTTTTGTTATTCATTTTAATGCTGTGCGAAGAAGTATGAATTTAATTTGAAGTCATGCACACGGGTCAAAGGCGAAAAATCAATGCAGACGCAACTAGAGGACTCTATCGCCCCGTCTCTCTTACCATCCCTATCCCTCTCTCTCTCTCTCTATCTCTCTCTCTATCTCTATCTCTAACTCTATCTTTCTTTCAGCCGGACGGAGGTGCGGCAACAGATACGAAACTTAATCGACTGCGTCTACGGCTAGGCAGGTTCTCCACGGCCAAGACCATGGCCGGAAGTGCCGGGGGCGTCTCAGGAGCCGGATCCGGGGGCAGGGCTCTGGGCCAGGTCGACGGTAACTCAACGAACACGGTCAACACCGTGGAGGACACCGAGTTCAGCAGCTCGAATGTGGACAACAAGAGTCGGGCCGGCGTCGAGGTATGTGCACAATGCAAACACTTAAAAGTTAAATTAGAAAATCATAAAGTCAACAACTATAGCAAGTATTTTTTTTTCTTTCAACGCACTTTTTTTAAGATAAATAGTGTTTACTGTGCATATGTTTATCAATATGTTTATTATATGTTTACCAGTTACTGTATATTTAATAAGTATATCTTATTTTTTCAATAAAAGAAAAATTAACGTTTTTAAAAAAAAATAATTAAATTTAGTGATTGGACTACTATTAAACTGTTTAAGATTTGTTTTCATTAGAAAATTTTCAGAGAAATTAAGAAACCAATTATTGCTCACTAGAAAATAGTGGCTTAAAAGTTAATTTATAAAATATTATTTTATTAGATAAATAGTCTCAAGTTTGAATGTTCTAAAATAAGATTTGTATCTATATTTGTATATTTTATGAATGAATATAATGAATGAATATATATTCTTTTGTAAATTAATACATTTAGTGATTGAACTTCTATTAAATTGTTGCAAACCTTTTTTTATTGTCAGAGAAACGACGAAAATAACTTTCGCTTAATAGACAATATTATTGTTTTAAAATTAAAAAAAAAAAATTTCGCAAAAACAAGAAAACATTTGTTTGATTTAATATTCAAACCAAATATTATAATATATTTCAAATTTTCAAAATGTTTTTTTTCTAATAAATTAAGGGTGCCATTGTGATGTTTTAGGTTTTAAAATAAAAAATATTAAGAAACATATTTCAGGCTTCTTCAAAAATTAAAATTAAACTTTAAAACTTAAAAACAAGAGTTGATTTTTTTAATTAACGATTATTTGTAAGAAAATGAAATGTTATCCAGAAAAACGCTAAATAACTCAGCTTCTATGAAAACAGTTTTCCAAGTGTACCAGTGAAAACAATGCGGATTTTTGGGTTTAAAGCAAATTTCATAACGCCTGACATGTGCCCAACGATCTGGCGCTTTGCTTCCTGTTCCCGGGAATGCACACGCACACACTAATGAATAACACACACACACACACACACACACAGATACTCCGGGAAGGATAGGCTGACCAAAAATAAACCCACCAGAGTTCAGCTCATTTCTCGCTTTATTATGCGACTCCAACTACGATGTGCCCTTTGGCCTGCTGTCTTTTACCTTTGGGGGATTGAAATGATTTTTCCTCTTGGCTACCTTTTCAATGGTCTTTTCCTTCTAGAGCAGCCATTCCCTGCCTTTTTTTCACTCGGCTAATGTCTCATTAGCCCAGCTGCCGTCGCAGCAATATGCACTTGAGAATTCCTCGGGAACCATTTCCTGATAATGATCCAGGGGATGCGGGGCTGCGATTAACCTTTTCCTTTTCTTCCTCAGACATATTTCTTGCGCAGTGGATGAATTATACATATTTCTAGGCACAAGATTGAAAGTTCGTTCTGTGGGGAAGCTATTATTTTGAATTTTTGTGAAAACTTATCTTAGAAAGTTCTTTAATTTCGTTAAAACAATAAATTTTATAAATATTTTAAGGAAAATACTTTTGAACATGCAACATTAAAAATCAATATCTTGTTTAAATTTGAATTTGAGTGAATTTCTGGGATGTATTGTTTTCTCATCATCATACCCATTCCATATTGGGAAATAAATTTGATGAATTAAAATGTAATTTATTTCAACTGTATAATATAAAACATTTATTTTATATAAAAAAATGAGGTCTTACAATAAAAATCGACATTAAATTATCTTAAATTACATTAATTATTATAAACTCTACAAAAGCCACAAATTATTTTAATTTATGCACCAATTAGAAAAAATTATTGTTATTTGATTTTAATTGTGCCTAGAGCTGTTGTCCTGAGTGCTGGGATAAGAAAACCACTCCCAAGAATAAAACGGAGCAATCCCGGCAAATTATCCGCCACTCGACCAAAATGTCAGCGATAAAATGCAGGCAAAGCTTTCGGTTTATTGGGGGAAATTCCAGAATGAGGGCAGGCGAACCCAACCCAAAATTTGTATTTAACCGCATTTTATGTACTTCAATTTTCGTCCAGCGATTTTATGGCTAAAAAATAATCCAAGCAGGCCACACATTCAATAATAACACGCATTAAAGCGAGGGGCGAGAGCAAGCCATAAAAGAGCAGAGCCTAAATAAATTGCTTGAACGTTTTGTTTGCATTGCTACAAGCCGGGCCAATACCTTTGCACTGGTCGAAACGAGGTGGCGAAGTCAAGGCGACTGGTCAAAGGTCAGGGGGCAGGGGGGCAGAGGGGCAATCGCCAGGTTCGTGCCGGTTAAGTAATAGCAAAGTTAAATATAAGCTGTGACAAGGATACGCCACCCCCACCCCCCCATCCCCCCCGGGCATGCAAAAAGCAGGACAGAGACAAAAGGACAAAAAGTGAGAAAGAGAGATTCAAATGAAAATAAGAAAAGACTAGGTTTCGTTTTCAAGTCGAAGTTGGAAATGCTCTTTCTGAAAACACAGTTAATAAATAATCATATTTTTATAGTAACTACTATTTCGAATTAATTTTTTGATCAAGTACAATGATATTAAACAATTAAGTCATAGCCATTATAAGTTATGTTATAAAGTAACGTGGCAATGATTATGTTTGCATTATTCAACTTTTATTCCAAAGACTAAGGGATTTAATTTATTAAACACTATTTAGTTTTAATTTAACATTCTTGGTACTCAAATATGTTATATGATTTTTCCTATTTTTAAACTATCAGTATTTATTATAATTTTAGTTCTATAAACCACTGATTAAGATGGTTTGATGGATTTATTTAACACAGAAACAGTAAGCTTTAAAATTATTGATTAATAAAAGTGAGACTAGCTCATTTACAATTTAATTTTTTTTTGAAAAAACAATATTCAAAAGCTTTAAAGTTGAACGTGGCATTTGCTAAAGAATTTAAAGAACTCTAACACATTTTTCTGTTATTGTATATTAATTCGTTATGTTAATAATTTTTCTAAGTACCGAAGTCTATTAGAAAACTATATTTTCATTACAGTTAAAAATTAAGAAAATAAATGGTAATAAAGGGTAGTTAATTGCAAGCACCAGGTAAAAATCCTTAGTCCCGATGAAGAGTATGAAAACAAAATAGCAACAGGAGCCAAAAGTCAGTTAGAGAGAAGCAGAAGGGCGTTAGCTTTGCGGGCCTTTTACTCCTTGACCCGTGGATTCCGATTGCGATTCCCGTTCTGATTTTGGGCCGCCTAACAAGGCACTCAATACGCTTGAGTAATTGAGGAAAATATGTTGATGGCTTATGGCTAACAGCTTTCGTTTCCATTCGCTTGGCCAGCATAACTCCCTTTCTCCTTCTCCGCAAACAATCTTGGTTCTGAGATTAAATATTTACTTGGAAATGGCTTCCACACACCTCTCTTTCGGTCTCATTCCTCTTGGGCAAATAAGTGGACGGCAAAATAAATAAACAAACACACTTTTGCACGCATGGCCCAAAGCAAATATATAAATTTATTATAGTTGTGTGTGTGCACGTTAAATATGACCAAAAAATCCGCAAAAAGTTTGCCACAGTGTGCGAAAAAACGAACCGAAATGGACACAAGTTTCAAGGAAAACAAAATATATATATGGAGTTGTTTGAGTTTCCAGCTGCATAATTGCGGAAACGGTTCGAAAATTAAAAGGAAAAATCACATTTTTTCTTTCTGGCTTCAGTGGATATCCTTGACTGCAGGTGCAAAATTGCAAAGTCCTCAGAAATCCAATCTGCATCCCTCTTCCAGCTTTTCCCCATCTCTGCCCATTGTTCGCCATTGTTCGATGTCTGTAAATTAAACTACGCTCTTTGCTTTGGCAATTGGATGCTTTGTTACTGATTTGTCTTTGGCTTCGCTTTGATTTGCTCTGGCCTTGATTTGCTCTGCTCCGCCGCATGTCCTTGCAACATATTAAAAATTGCTTCAGGAAGGAGCATATCGAATGGTTCGCTGTACTGGGACGCAAATACAATGCCCATGACAATGCCACGACCCAAGTGCGCAGAAGAGTGGACCTCGACTTCAATGCTGTCGTATTTCTGTCAATAAAATACCAAGTTCTAATAGAATATATTTTCACCAAATATTATTTTAAAAATTATGAAATCTTAGTATTGATTTAATAATTCTGTTTAAAATACTCAAATTATTTTTTAGAAAAGAAATGTTTCACACCAAAAGCGCAGATTTTTTAGTAATCAACTGCAGTAGGAATTAAATTCTAGACTTCTGCTTTTATTGAGGATAAATGATTCCACCCTAAAATCCACACATATGTTCCATGCTTCCGCTATTGTTGCTTTGTGCTTATGCACAATTGGCCAATGGCCATTGAATTTGAAGTGAACTAAGCTCTTGTCCGACATTTTACCCCATATATCCATTGTTCCCGAAACGGCAGTTTTTACTTTTATGAATTTGAATGTCTTCCCTGCACACAAATTACATACTCAACACAATATGTTTCGTAATTTATAGCAGCAGCATCACAGTCATAAAATTCATTTGGTCAGGCCATTAATTGAACTTGGCTTACTTTCGAGCACAATTGTGATGGCAGAAAAGCACCAACGTCATCAGCCCTTAATTTCAGTTGTTTATTTTTTTGTCAGATAGACAACTAAAAATAAAAATAATATAGCCTACAAAATCACATCTTGGGTAATTTAGTTTTCTCGTTAGAAGAAGAAATTGAAAAGTAATTAAAAGGGTACCATAAACAAAAATAATTTTATTTAAAATTTTTCAAAACTATATGTATCGACAATATATGCACATAAGATCAAAATGTTAAAATGATGTTAGTATTAGGAAAATGTTAATCTTTATAAAGTTTTGCTTTTCTTCTTTTAAGAATTGTTTGCACATTGTTTTCGAAAATGCTAAAAACGAATTGATAACGATCATCTATAGTCGAAACTATCGCGATATTCAGAACCCACTACCCATGTACCTAAGCATTGTCGTTATCGCCACGAAAAGGCGCCAGCTGCAAAGTAGACACAATTTATCACACGTAAAATTCATTTTAGCACCGTGCGGACACTTCCGCCCGACGCACACCTACGGTCGGCCTCAAATTACAGGTGATTATGGGAATTTTAGTGCTAGACAAGCCGTTAGCAGGGCCGGCTCCTCAAATATGTACGTTACATCCGGCAAATTGCCTAGCAGCCCTTTCGAGTGGCTGAGGTCTGATAAAAGGGCGGTGGCGGGGGGCGGGGGCGGGGTCGTAGACCGTACCCCAAATGGCCAACGAGCTTAACGAAAGTAAATATTTACCCTCTGATTTTATTCATTTACCGAAATTTATGGCCACAACGCGATGAAAATTGACGAGCAGTAAATAAATTTATGAATGCAATGCGGGTACTGATTTAAAATGCTAATTTAGCGCATGAAACTTGAAACCGCTGTTCGAAAATTATTAGACTGTTGACAGGATCAAAAGAGGTTTCCCAAAGAATGGCAGTAAATCTTAAAAGTTAGCACAGTCAAATGACCACACATCATTAAATAAAATGTTTTTTATTTTCCCCATATTAAACAATCATCTATCATCTATAAAACTTCGAAATTACCAAACTATTGTTTTTAGTTAGGCTTCCAAGAACTTATATAACTTAACTTGAAAGCTTATATTTGAGCTTTAAAAGTATCTAGATAAGTATAATTTTATTAATTATTAAATGGATTTGGCTAATTAAACAATTTTAAGAAAATAAATAATGTTTTAAAAAATCAATAGATGAAATAATAATTAATCCAACAAATTTTATTACTCTGAATGTATGAAGTATTTATTGACTTAATGTTAGCTTTTGAAAATAAAGTGCCCTACAATTATAATAAGGTATCTAGTAGATGATTTTCTTGCAGTGAAATTAATTATTTAGTGAAAAAAAATCAATGTTTTGATGTTTAAATGAATTTTTAAATAATTTTAAGCCTGATCGTATAAATACATATTATGTTTATCATTTGAAAATCACCTTGAAATGAATCTGTTTTTTATCTGAATAAGAAATAAGTTCAATTAATAAAGAGACCAGTTTTTATATGTCTACATATTCAATATCCCGTAATCTGTGCTTTTCATATTCACAAGGTGGTGTTGTTCGTATTTTTAAAAATTTGCTTTAATAAATTTGCACAAACGATGTTCCCCGAATCAACTAACTCCTTAAACACTCCATTTATTGCAATTGCAGGCGCCCAGCACGTCCGGCAGCCAGATAGCCACCGTGTCGCACCTGGTGGCGCTAGCCAAGCTGCAGGGCAAGTCCACCGCCAAGTCCTCGTCCGCTGTCAACGGAGCGCGGGAGGATGGGGAGGGGCGGGAGCGGGGGCCAGAACAGGAGGGGCAGGACGAGGAGCAGCATGGGCAGGACCTGGATCCGGATGACCTCGCAGCCGCAACCGCAACATCAGCAACGCCGGCAACGCCAGCCGCATCCACCGAGGACCAGTGCAAGGCCAACGGGGTGGAGGTCCTGGAGGATCCGCAGCTGCAGCAGCAGCTCGAACAAGTGCAGCAGCTGCAGAAATCAGCGAAATCCGGCGGGGCCAGCACATCGAATGCGACCACAATTACGTCGATATCGGCGCTATCGCCACAAACGCCGACTTCGCAGGGAATCATCATGACCGCCACCGCTGGGGCCGCTGCCGGGCCAATGACGGCCAAAACCAGCACACTGACGAGCTGCAACCAGTCGCATCCGCTGTGCGGGACCACCAGTTCGTCTCCCCTCACTCCGGAGCCACGCCCCCGGCAGCAGCCGCCCCCGCAGCAGCAGCAGCAGCAGCATCAGCAGCAATCGCAGCTGTCCAGCATCGCCAATCCCATGCAGAAGGTGAACAAGCGGAAGGAGACGCTGGAGGCGAAGCGGGAGAGAAAGGCGGCCAAGACGCTGGCCATCATCACCGGCGCCTTCGTGGTCTGCTGGCTGCCCTTCTTTGTCATGGCCCTGACCATGCCCCTTTGTGCCGCCTGCCAGATCAGCGACAGCGTGGCCTCGCTCTTCCTCTGGCTGGGCTACTTCAACTCCACCCTCAACCCGGTAAATTGAATAATAAATGCCTAAGTGACTGCGAAAGGGATGACTGCAGCAGAAGGCTGCCACAAGTTTGCATACATATTTATAGAGATTTTAACGTTACAGTCTGCCAGCTTTCTTTGCGAACATATTATTTATCCACTTTATTCATATGATAAACGACACTAACTGTGAGCCAGAAAATTTCCCTTTGCACCAAAAATATACTATAAACGAATTTAGCAAAGTATCAGGGTCTGCCAGTTTTTTAAGCACACATTTATAAATTTACTCAAAATAATTAAAATTATAAACTTACTACTTAATATATTTGATGCCCGAAATAACACAGTAAATTTTAAATTTATTTTAAAATATATATTTAAGTCGTTTTAGAAGATTCCGTCTTATGCATACACTATTAAAACATTTGTACAATTATATTTTTTAAGTTAACCAATTTATTGCAATTAATTTGCTTGATTTTAGTTAGGCGATTTATACCCCTCAAATTGTATTATTTTTGTGCTTAGTAAAGCAATTTTACTTTTAATGTTTGTGTTTACTTAAAACAAATTAAAAGAATTTCAGTAACTTACTCTATCGTTGGGCCGGTTGAATTTACCTGCTAAAAACAATTTAGATTTTCTTTAAAGAGTGATATTTATCACTTATGACAGACAAATAACTCATTTCCATTGTACGACTGCAGCTTACATTGCCTTTCAACTCTGATCAAATTGTTTTCCCTTGCAGGTCATATACACCATCTTCAGTCCGGAGTTCCGACAAGCCTTCAAGCGCATCCTCTTCGGCGGCCACCGACCAGTCCATTACCGCAGCGGGAAGCTCTAGATAGTGCATGCGAAGAGGCGAAGGTGAGGGCTCCTTTCTGAAACCAATACTCATCTACACTCACAATAAAATACCTACATTTTTAGTTTAAAAACTGGGAAAAATTACATTCGAATTATCGACAAAGTTTAGCCTTCTTTTCTTGACTAATTTATTTAGGCTTTGATTTTTTGATCTTAGAATAGAAAGAGCAATAAAAAACAGTTCTTAAAATTTCTTAAAACACGAAATATCATTTTTGACCCATTTTTGTTTTAAGAATTATTGACACATTTCCTAACTTGAGAAATCAAATTTAATTTTGATTTATTAATTTTTGTTTCTATTTTTATGGGCAGTTTTTTATTTAAATTTGAGAAGATTTTATTTATAAATAATTTATAAACCAATATATAATTTATTTTAAATCATCAAAATTCCGGCAAAAAATTCTTCAAGTTTTCCATGTGGATTTGATTAAACTCCCAAAAAGTTTCAAGTCAACTCACAATATTTTAGATAAGACAGAAAAAGTTTGTAGTTCAAAGGAGCAATTTTGTTGGGATACAGCAACAAGACTGTCATATTTTTTCTGTGCACACCAGTTATGGTTATTGTGTTAGTCAATTTGGCCGGCGGCCATTTGAAACCTTTCGAATCGATTCAACGCACACGCAATTGCATTCTTGTTACGTTATTGTCTCTGGCTGGCAAGTTTCAATTTTCAATGGCCGAAACCTGACCCGAAATTGGTATTCCTTGGGTTGAGGGTATATGTATATACCTCTAAAGAGGTCACGACTGCAGCCTCCGAAGGAGTTTCGTGAGCATTTTGCATTCGGTGACAGGAATCGAAACCATTGTTGGCTCTAAAACGAGTGAAGAACTTTTGGGCCGGCAGCGAAAGTTTTATCAGGCCTTTATCGGACCTGTCATCTGCAGGCGGCGATGTTGGTCAATGCATTAGAATTATGCCACATTACCCGGTTGAATCGCCCCCGCAAACCGAATCCGAATCCGAATCAGAAACGAGAAACGGGAAATGGGCAAATGGGCAAATGGGAAACGGGATTTTATCTACAGAGGACGGACGCAGAAGTTTTGAATAGTTACCATTTGCATTGCTGAAGAAATGCCATCTGCATGTGGCAGTAGTTAAATCTTTGCCATTCATTCATTTTCATTTCCATTACTGTTTCCAGGGGCAACATGAAAGTTAAATTAAGTAACATTAATTTGGCGAATTTCTGCTTAGTTTGGCGCCTCACCATTACAATGAACTTTTCAGAGAATGTGAATGCAAAAAGTTTTACGCCCCCCGCCTCCACCAACTCACACACTTTGTTAATGAATCTTGCGAATTGGTTTTGCTATCTTTTGCAGACGCTTCTGCTAAACCGACAAGCGGATGTTGATCTAACCTCTTCGGCTATAACTAGGCGAGGATTAACGCATCTTGTATACAAAAGACGAGGAAGGACGTAGGACAAAGGATCAAGGAGCACTCACATAGGCCGTAGTCATTAAGTGTGTAAATAGCGGATTGAATTGATGTTAACCCATGCAAATATATTCTGTTAGACATAGCTAAATTTATAGAGCCAAGTGGAGACTGTTTTTAGAAAAGCAAGACGTTGAATTGTGAAGAGATGCCACCAGGAAATACAAAAGTATCTAATCAAAATAACTAGACTTAAGCCACTACCGCATAATTGACATATAGAGCAATCTACTACCACTTCTTACGTGTTTTCCAACTTAACGTGTATTGTATAACTCATAACTATGTTAGGCGTTAGACTCCATCTCTCTCCTCTGCTTAAAGAATGGTATGTGGATTGGGATTGGGATCGGGATTGGGTTGGGGGAATAAGAAATGGGAACCAAGGCATTGGAATCGTTATAACTGAAGCGAGTACTCGATTATGTATAGCCCAGCTAAAGACATTTAATGTGCGTATCGATCGGCGATCGAATATGCATCCTAGGCTTAAGCACATTTGTTGAGCATCGTACTAAACTGTAATATTGATATAGGATCTATAACTTATCGAACCGGTGCAAGCCAGTTTAAATTAAATTTAAACGTATTGTTAAAGCCACACCTAGGTAAATTACATTTAAAACTGTTGTACTATTACGTATGTGTTAGTTCGGTAATTATGTGTGAAGGATTTCTTTGAATAAGCTGACATATTATGGTATCTTATAAGCAAACAGTTCGAATGACGTGTAATATTTGAAGAGCAAACTACTTTCGGGAAAAATGGGTAAAACGTAATTAGCTAAACCAAACAAACACGTTAGAAAATACATTGAATAATGACATATATGTTAGTTACGATTAAGCGGAGGGAAACTGCAGATATCACAATGTTTAACCTTCATTAAACTACCAAGCGAACTATTCGAAAACCAAAATCAAAACTTTACGAAATCTTTAAGCCGACATCATTACCTAGTGACTAAGTGTTTGCAGATCTGTCTATCTTTAAATACCAAATAGCAATAGAAACAAAGCAATTCCCAATGGCATCATACTCAGCAATAATTCGAAGAGACACCCACACAACTTTCTATCTAAATTTGCCAAAGGCAATTGCTCTTATTTATATCCTACTTAATTTTTAGTTTCGGTTCAAACAAATTGGCGCGCATTTTGAAAAGAATTATTGCTTGGTATGAGAGTCGAGCTTCCGGGATTTTTGCTAAGCAAACAGCATAAGTTAAACTAACGAGATTACTATAAAATTCATTGGCTGCAATTTAAATAAAAATTCAACTTTCATGCAAGAAAGAAAGCGTTTTATTTCTAAAACCAAAGGGAAAGGTTGTAATCAATCAGATGGGAATTAAAACCATTTGTTATTGCTGAGATAACTGCCACCGATGTTAAGTTTAAGGCAATATTAGCAAACATTACTAACCATCGCATACCTTTTTATAAAATGCTCCAATTTACAAGGCATATAGTGGTTTTTTTTAAAATGACTTAACAACATGAATTTGTTAATGTTATTGGCTTGCAGTAACATTTCGCGCGCTTTCTGTTAAGGGGCTGAAAGCTCAAACTGTTATCCGAGCTTTACAGTCACTGCTATCAGCTTGAAATCGAAAACTATCGATAGTTGGGCGCCAATTTCAGATATTTTGCAAGCAATATTGACAATATTTTAAAAATTTTGAAACAGATTAGGTAAATATAAATAATGCACTTTATTTATTATCTTACGCTTACAAATACATACAAAAATACAATGAACTAATGCTAGGCATTTTATATTGTACAGGGCAATGCAGCGGAATGGAAATATGGGAAAAATGCAAATCCAGGTGGCAGTAACCAAGATTAAAGTTTCTTCTTGGCGTGGAAGCTTATTTACAGGGCAAAATACTTTCGTCTATCCATTTGGATATCAGGTCGCAATGTAGGTGAAAAGGTCCTCCGGGAAGCTGCATTGGTCCAGATCCCTGCCCAAGGCGAAGTATCTCTTCCGGAGAAGATGGGCAGCCGCTTTGGGTTGGCGGGCGCGGGTAAAGACGCCCTTTTTGTTGCCACCCACGCGGGTATAGCCTGTAAAGCGTTTATTTATATATATAAGGTAAAATACGTATTTCATATTGGGTGTCACTCACTTTGAGCTGTCTTAAAGTCAGCAAAGTTCCACACAAACTCGCCGATAAACCAGCCCTTTCTGCGCAGCTCGTCAAAGGCCTTAAAATGGCGGGAAAACACCTCCGTCTGGAACTCTTCTGACCACACATAAGCGGGTTGCTAAAAGTGCAAAAATATAACATTTATTTAGCTTTTATTATAAATTTAAATAATACATTTGTAGGAGGGTTGGATAATTAGTTACAGCCCTTCTAATAAGGAAAATATTGATAGTTGACATTACTTTAATAATTATCCCAATAAAATGAATTATGAAAATGATTGAAAATAAATTAACTAGTTTTTGACGCTTTGAGTAATTTTGACAAAAAATTAAAATGTTTATGTGAGGCATATGATCTTGGAAAAAGATCTTATAGTTTTTACTCCCATTTGAATCCATACTCACCATATGCAAACCCTCCAGAGTGTCAGCTCCATATTCAGACATAATAATGGGCTTGTTATAATGTTTATTCCATGCGGTGGCCTCTTCGATCACATTTTGAGTTACCATGTCCAGTCGTCCAGTGTTTGAATACCAGGCATTATAGCGATTGAAGCTGATGATGTCTAGTGAACGGCCCTGTAATAGATTGATTATATAAGTGAGGGTCTGAGGGTAATGCCCACTTCATTTACCGCTTTGTCCTGGGTGTGGGAAACGGCAATGGCAGCAGTAATAGGTCGCGAACTATCCAGAGAACGCGTGTAATTCGCCACCATTCTGGAATGATATAGTATCAGATCAGTATCTGGCAAACTACCATTAAGTTAAAAATACCCACTCAAAGTACGAGTCCGCACTCATACTGCCAGTACGAGGTTCATTCGCAATAGACCACATCACCACACTCGGATGGTTGCGATCCCTATGGATGAGCTGCTCCAACGAGGATTTGTGTTTGCCCAGCAGCTCCTGGCTGTAGTTTCTGAAAATCGAAATGTACAGCATCAGTAAGAATCCTGCCGGTGAGAGAGACAAACTCAACTCCGTATCCACACTGGGACATTCGTCGATGATCATGATGCCGTGCTCGTCCGCAAACTGCATGGACTCCTCGGAATAGGGATAATGCGAGGTGCGGTACGCATTCGCTCCGATCCATTTGAGCAGGTTGAAATCGCGGACCATCAGGGCATTGTCCAGCCCTTTGCCACGAATATCCGCATCTTCGTGTCGTCCAAATCCACGGAAATAAACGGGCTTTCCGTTGATCAGGAACTGCTTTTTGTCCCAACTCAAATTGCGTATTCCCACTTTGAGACGGTAGACATCCAGGAGTTCTTCGTTGGTAGCCAGCAACTTTATCTCCAGCTCGTAAAGGTAACCGGGTTCCGGGTGCATCAGGTAGGGCCACCAGGGCTTCACCTGATTCACCTGCAACTTGCCGCCAAGCTTTCCATCCGACGTGACATTAGCCACCAATACACCCTCTTTGTCGTACAGGTTGGCCTGGATATGTAGGACGTTATCCGCCTCGTTGGCAGCGCTTCCATTCACGCTCACGCTGTATATCACTTCGCCAACTGAAATTGAGGAAAAAGTTAAAACACAAACAATTTTATACGGTTTTTTTTTATGATCTCACCACTGGCATCTTTGGACAAGTTTGTGGTGACCTCAACCTCTTCGATAAAGGTGCGTGGCGTGGTGTACAGATGAACACTCCTGTGAATGCCCGCATAGTTGAAGAAATCAAAGGTGTAGCTCTGCACAATGGTCATGCCTCCATCGTTGGGCACCTCCGTGATCCTGCCCTGCGGCACTGTCGTCTGGATCAGAGCATTGTCGCACATCACGGTTATCCGGTTCTCGGCCCCGTAATTCAGGAGATCCGTCACCTCCGCCTCGAAGGGCAGATGACCCATCTCGTGCTTCACTACCTTCTGACCGTTGACCCACTGAAAATGATCGGAAATTGTGTATATGTAAATCATTAGCCTTGAGTTTTCAGTTACTATAGATATTATAGATACTTTTACAATTCGAATACTTCTAAGTATTGGAAATCTAAACATTTTCTAACCATTTCTATGGTATCATCGCCCATAAACTTTATTTTAAATTGTACTCCCACAACTGGGATGATGTGTAGGCTAATAAATAGAATTCTTGAATACCCACCACATAGGCTTCATAGTGAACACTGCCGAAACGCAGCCAGATCCTCTGATCCTTTGCCCAAGAGCGGGGCACGAAGAACTTCCGGTCGTACCACACAGTTCCCACGTGATCCCTCAGGTTATCCGTGGTAATGTCGTTATAGGAGGCGGGCACTGGCATCGGAATCGTCGGCCTGCTCTGGCTCAGCTCCTTGGCATACCACTCATCCCGTACTCCCTGCGTGGGATTCGCCTGATCCGACCTCACAAAGTTCCAGATCCCGTCCAGAGAGCGCACCTCCCGCGTCTCCGATTCCCTGGGATATAGCATACCGCGCGTCTGGGGCACTTCCTTGTTCACGAGGATCAGGGCTATGGAAAAGTGCAGGACGTAGAGACCAGTGACCAGGGAGAAGAAGGAGAGAGCTGCGGATACATAGATATACACGGTGTCAGATATGGTGAAGATTATACATACGTCGGTGTGAATATAACACACCGATAATGGAGGTGATTATTTTGCCTATCGGGAATTTCCACCTTTTGATAAGGGGAAAAACTCGATTATACAGATACATGCGCGTGTTAAGAGGAATAACTGGGAAATATTGAACGTGGTTAAACATCTCGATTATTGTACATTTGCAATCAAATTTCACGTCCGAGTTGTTAAAGAGTGCCACAGTAATCGGCAATTCGAGAAAATAATTCAATAG